TCCCAGGTGAGCCCTGTGGAAAAGAGCTGAAGAACAGAATTAAGATCCTGAGTCTGGGGCCCAGCTACGCAAAACTGACCTACAGCCCACACTTGGCCTTTAAGAATTAGCAAAACATTGGCTGATTTCTTCTTACCCACTTGCATGGTGGCCACCTGTCTTTCCCATGCTCCGTCAAAGCTGACACGGACCTGTGTCCCGTCCCTCCATGGAGATGCTCATCCCTTGTGGGAATTCAGCCCACCTGGTCGTCTTTTGACTTCGGCTCTCTGCTGGGCTCAAGAGAAGTCGTGGTTTTGTTGGTTATTTGCCTTTTTGTCATTGTTAGGGTGCGAACAATGTTCTTGGCAGCTTTCTTCCTAAATAGAAAAGTCCTAATGTGTGCTTATTCTATACTTTGAGGTTGTTCTGTTACGTGCTATTTTTAGTGTGTGTGTCTCCTCACACGTTCCGCAGGTGAACCGGAGGCTCACCTCTGGGAGGGCAGTGGGCTAAGAACATCACATGCAGCCCGGTGGAGGGTATGTTCCTTTGCTTCTACCAAGCGTCTCAGCAGTGTCAATGCCAGACCCTAAAACTATGTTTCTCAGCCTGATGTGCGGAAAGGACTGATTCAAACCATAACCCCCCATGAGCCTGTGTTTATAAATTTTCAGGCAATGTCAATAGGCAGTTGACTAACTGGAGGAAGATATATATTAGTGACATACATCGCAGACAAAAGACTAATATCCTTAACATATAAAGAATTCTTAAAAACTAAGATATAGGGGCACCTGGGTGGCTCAGTTGGTTAAGGGTCCAACTTCGACTCAGGTCATGATCTCACAGTTTGTGAGTTTGAGCCCCATGTTGGGCTTTGTGCTGACAGTGTGGAACCTGCTTGGGATTCTCTCTCTCCCTCTCTCTCTGCCCCTCCTCTGCTCTTTCTCTCTCAAAAATAAATAAACATTTAAAAAATTAAGGTATAGAAAAATGAGAAAAAGGTATGAACAGATCACAAAAATACATTAAAATGACCCATAAACAGGGGCACCTGGGCTCAGTTGGTTAAGCATTGGACTTTGGCTCAGGTCATGATCTCGTGGTCTGGGGTTTAAGCCCCACATCAGACCCTGTGCTAACAACTCAAAGCCTGGAGCCTGCTTTGGATTCTGTGTCTCCCTCTTTCTCTGTTCCTCCTCTACTCACGCTGTCTCTCTCTCTCTCAAAAATAAATAAATATTTTTTAAAAATGACCCATAAACATTTGAGAAGCTGTTCCAACTCATTTATCTGATCGTCAAAGTTGTAAAAGTAGGAAGACTTACTGTCACCAAGGCTGCAGGGGAACAGGCCCTCACACACACCGCCGGTGGGAGCACAAACGGGCACAGCCTCCTGTGGGTTATTGGTGGTTCAAATGTGACCACATACACACTCCTGATTTCACTCAGCAGACCATGCGTAGACATCTACCCTGAAGATGCACATCCAACAACATGAAAAGACATGTGTGAAGCGTACCCACTGCAGCACTGTTGGAGAAGTGTTGGAAACAACCTGAAAGCCCATGGGCAGGAGAGCGGTTGGATAAGCTGTACTCTGTCCACACGATGCAGATCTAGACAAGTGTAAAAACCAGGAATGAGGAAGCTTCTGTAAACAGACGTGGAATAATTTATAGCACAGATTGTTAGGTTAAGAGAGGGAAGTGCCAGATATCCATACTGTGCTACCTTTCACGCACAGAAAAAGAGTTATAAGAAAATACACATGATCAGACCTCAGTGAAGTGGCTTAAAAACATTTAACACACGATATAAAACAGTAAACTGAGTAATCTTTTACCAAAAAAGGGTCATATACATGTACCTGTTCATTTGTGCCCAAGGAAGCACGGGAAGGATAAGGCAGAAAATGATGAGGCTGATCCCTGTGGGACGTGAGGCAGCGGGTGGACAGAAGCAGGGTGGCACCAATGTTAGGGGCACAGCGGAAGTGGAATTCTTAGATGCAAGACTTTTTGTATTAGAATCATGGCTATATACTTCAAAAGAAGGAAGTGACATCAACCACAATGAAAAGGGACCCAAAGCAGAATAGTACAAGTCAGTAACTAGGAGGGCGGGAAGAAAAGAGCCTGACGAGGAAGTTTGGAAGGAAGTACCTGACGACATATTCTAAGGCTTAACATGAAAGGCGGTATACAAATCTTGCCTGCTAGTTAGTAAATCTGTTCTTCGCAGGGTGGGGCTACACCAGCAATTCTTGGGCTACTTCTGTGTTTTCTGGGACTGAGCAAATGCACGGACTCTGGTGGGACAGGAGGCCCAGGATTCTCACAGACAAAAGGAAGGAGGTAGGATGAGCCTCACGGGCAGGTCTGGGACCAGTGGAATGAGTCTGAATTCAGGATGCCCAACATCTGAGCAGATAGGTGTGGAAACACAGATATGTGCCCACACACATCTGTCTTGGCTCTGTCCACTGGGGAGCCTGGAAACAACACCCCACCAGAGCAGCAAACACATCCAACTCTGACTTTGGCTTCTAACTACCCCTCTCCAGCATGGGGGAGCAGGGCTCTATGCAGACCTGGCTGCTCCCAGGGCTGGGGCAGGGAAAGTGTGCAAGAGCAATGCCAATGTGTCGAGCTCCAAATAAGAAAACCAAAGAAACAAAATGCACAATAGTAGTGGTTTGTAACTCATTGAATAAAGTAAAGACCAGTATGTTACACGGATCTAAACATAATGGAATCAACAAGTAGATAAAGTCCTTTTAAGAAAGTACAGCTCTTCCTTGCAAATGTAGAAGGAATGGTAGAACTAGAAAATCACCTTTTGGCAAATACTATAGTGATAATTCTTGCAGTTAAGAGGTGATGGATGCTGGGGCGCCTGGGGGGCTCAGTTGGTTCAATGGCTGCCTCTTGATTTGGGCTCATGTCATGATCTCATGTTTCATGGGATTGAGCCCCATGTTGGGCTCTGCTCGGAGGACGGAACCTGCTTGGGATTCTCTCTCTCTCTCCCTCCCCTGTCCACACGCATGTATGCATGAGTGTGTGCTCTCTCTCTCTCAAAATAAATAAACAATTTTTAAAAAGGAACAATGGATGCTAAATTAGTGGTGAAAATATGGTGAAAAGCAGGGTATTTTTACAGTCTGAAAGTATCTCCCCCCAAAATACTAATTGTTTACACATGGAAAAAAAAAATCAAGTTGATTATGGAGACACCGGGTATACAGTACCTTGAATAAGTGATCAAAGTGAACACCCCCCACCCCGGGTAATGAGATAGTCTACATCATGCACATCCTCATGGGACACACGAAGGAAGACATAACATCACTTCTTTAACATTCTTGCCCCGAAGGCAACCTGAATCTAGTCGTGGGGAGAATTCAGACAAACCCAAATTGAAAGAGATTGTATTAAGTAGCTGGCCAGTACTCCCCAAAGTCATGAAAGACAGAGACCGGGTAACCCCCCAGGCGGGAACGACAGATGTGACGTCACCGGTAGCTGCCATGAGGAATCTGAATGGATCCTGGAGCCAAAAAATGGCATTGGGAAGATAATTGACAAAATTTGGACCAGGTCTGTAGGTTACCGGGCAGGACTGCATCAGCGTGGACTTCCCGGTTTTAGTAATTGTACTCGAGTTACGTAAGACGTTACCACTGGGGAAAGCTGGGTGGAAGGAACACGGGAAACTCTACCACTTTCCTAGGTTGTAAATCTAAACTGGTTTCACAATGGAGCCATTTTAGACGTTGCATCCTGCACATTTCACCCATCCCGTTGCTTTCCTGTTACCAGACACACGAGCCTCGCTCCCGCACACGCCACGGCAGCACCTGCCTCCCTGTACAAGTCGCCAGAGACAGTCGCCCGTCTGCACCAGTTGGCAAACAGAGATCTTTATTGAGGTGGACCATCATTAAGTTTGCTGAGAACGTGGCACTCCGGGCGCTCAGCGGTTTGGGTCTTGTCCCCTGGGTGGGTAGTGAGGGCGCCTTAGGTCCGGGGTGGTGGGGGGGGGGGGGGGGAGACAGCTATGGTGTCCCCCCACCC